CTTCATTTTGTTTTTCTTGCAGGATCGTTGTTCTATCAAGAGCTTATATTGTCCAGCCGTGATTAAGATAAGCTCGTTAATCTTTCGGCGATCTAACGTGAATAATTTATTTCCAGTTCAACCGCCTTTGGCTTCGCGATACGTTGAAACTATGCTAATACAGAATTCAGGTGAAGCTAAGTGCAGTTAATATATCGTTCCCTGGTTTAGTGGGGATTTGTCTCGATTCCTGGGCTCCCGCTCCCAGACGAAACCGCTTCCTTCATTGTGAAGAAAGAAAAGAAAAAAAAAAAAGAGAAAGAATGAGATAGAGAAGGCGATATCCTGGAGTAACCAAAAAGAGAAAGGTGAAAGATCTTGTAAGATCAAGACAAAAAAAAGGAGAGCTCTCCTTCCTGTTGTTCCGGACAGGTCGGCTGACCGGTCCAACCTCGTCTGAATGTTCCGCGCGGCGGAACCCGAGCTCAACATAAATAATTAATGGACACGCCAAGGCGCCCTGGAACGCCAGCCTAAGATGCCTCCCTTCTTTTTGGCTCTCGTCGCCTGCCTTTGTTCCTCTCTTAAGCCTAACGCGAGCTGTCGTGACTGTGGCCCCGAGAAGTCGACAGCCAACATCTTTACACAGCGCACTCCCCTCCTCCCGCCCCGCCGCCACCGCCAACGACAGCGAGGCCCTTCGCCGAGAGAAGACGACGGCACGAATCTGCTTTGCCGACTTTTAGGGCGTTTAACGGTCGACCCCACCAGCTTCTTCCTCTCAACTTCCTCCACGCCTTCGCCATCGCTGTCGCCGTCATCGTTGTCCCTCCGGTTTCCTTTAGACTTAGCTGCCGCCCTCTCGTCGGCTAGATGCCCTGATCTCCAATTGGTGGATGAAATGCGCGTGCGCCATGATGCTCCGCGTTTGTCAAAACTGAAGTGCGACGTTCGGATCACTGTCTCCGCCGAAGTAGACGAGATGTCGTCACGTTAGTACCTACAGAAGCGGTTTCCGCAGGCTTAACGGCAAGCCGCCTCGTTAGGCCTAAAATGAAGGGAGGTTCTATTAGTCCTTGCTATCTTCTCTTTTCTTGCTATTCTTTTGTCGGAGATCTTTGCCTGGGCGATTCGATATCTGACAGTGCCTGAAGGGTGTATCGAGAACGACCCGGACCGCAGCAGAATCTCGGACGGGGAAGTTGCGTGGCGGCTCCCGTAGCGAGTACAAACTAGCGACTTGCGGAGGGCCTCCGCACGCTTAATCGCCGACGGCAGATTTCAATCTGACATTGAGACGCTGATTAGCGAGTTCAAACAAAGCGAGGTGCCTCGGCGCAGCGAGCGCCTGCTGTGGCCCGCCGCCGCTTGAAGGGTGCTCTTTACGAACGGGGAAGCTCCCGCTGGTCTTCTGAGAGGCGCCCGCTGTGGTTACACGATACCGACCAACTTGGCGGCGCCAAGAGTCCGAGTCACGACCGAACGGACGGTCAAGCGAGCGAGCATCCCGCTCCTGAATGATCCAAATAGAGGAAGCCTCCACTGCGGCCGTCCTGTTAAAAAGGGGCAGAGGCACGCCGACGCCGAAGCATGCGGCTAACTGCTGCACAGAAGCCGCTCTTACCGCGGCGCGAGGATCGTCCGAGAATGACTTAACATGTCTGCTGCTGTTTACCCTTGTACCGTTTTTGTTTTCTTTTTGGCTGCTGCCTTTGTCTTGACGCGAGTGCGATTTCCTTTTTTGTTATTATTTCGTTGCTGCTGTTTGGGTTCTGCTGCGCAGTCTCGTTTGTCTTGTAGTCTGCTTGCTTGGTTGGTTGCGTGTGGACATAATGCGTGTTTGGCTTCCTGGGTGCGATTAGACGCTCGAGATTGTTTGCGAAGATAGACGGGACAGAAACGTGTCGGCTCGCAGGCATCCTCGTGGGGCGAGGTTAGAGCGGCGTGAGGAAAGAAAACGTACTTGGCACGAGATAAAAAAAAATTGAAGTATGATAAATGCCAAAATTGTCGATCATCACGATCAGTAGGAGCTGTGGCGGCCTTTGCTTTAGGCGGTCGTGACCCTCTTCAGATAAACTTTCGTGCAACCCTCGCAATATCCGCGGGTCATAACCGACCGTGAAAATTACTCATGGCCTCGGAAAATATTTTGTCGAATTCACGCGTAATGAATGTCGAATAGTATGCACAGCTCTGGTTTCGCTCCTTTGATTGCCCGGTACAGGTTGGCAAACAGATTTGGTGTAGGCATCAAAGAAAAACTAAAAGTCTGCTTATTTCTAATGACCATAAGCGTATTCCAACAGCCTCAAGTCTGGAGGAGGGGGGAGGGGGGTTATCTGCCACACCCTATGTTAGAATTTCGCCCTTTAAAAATATATGTAAAAATGAAAGTGGGAAAATAAAATTTAAGATTGTCCAACAGTAAGCCATTCTATTCATTTATGAATATCTCATGTGAGTGACAGCTATGTTTCGTCCAACCCTTGCTTTTGTTTTTATTGGTGGTGGATACTTAACGCGTTTATGATAAGATAAAAATATTTTGCATGTTTGATCATAAGCGTAGAGCTAGAAACAAAATTTTATGCCAGAATAAATTTTAAAAAGTCAGACACTGCAAAAGAAAACTTCAAAACTTTTTTATTTTTTTATATAGCATATAGATTTGTAGGGAAACCATGGAGAAACCAATGTACGCCAGTGTTAGTAATGCATAGAATACACGGGGTGTTTAATTTAAATAATACAAACTCTTTTGAAAACAAAAATTTGTTACCCGTACACGTGTGCCATCTTCACTGCATGTGGATATTATGATCGGTAAGAGGTTAAGTGTTAAGTCCCACCTCCTCCCACTTTAGCAGAACGAACGCTCTAGAGGAGGTCGCCTTTTTTCCAGCGTTTGCTGTGTTAAAGTAGAAAGAGGTGGCAGGAGCTTCCACTTCCTTCTTGACCTGTCACCGACTATAGACGCAAGGATGCGGCAAGAAATCGAGGAAGAGGGGGAGGTAGACGCAAGGCTAGCTGCCTTCTGTCTCTACTCACTCTTCGAACGCGTTCTAAGAGTGAGTAGAGACGAACCCCGCGCTCTCTCATCTCCTCATCTCCCCTAATTTCTCGACGTATAACCGCCGGTATTAGAATACTAATGAAATAAAACGTTGTAATTTATTTCATGAAAACTATTTCGTAGGCCATCTTAGAATTCCAGTCATCACGCATATTGCAATTAGATATTATATTCCTAACGAGCGTGTTGGTACGATGTACTAGATAACAGAAAGTATAAAACAGAGAGAGGACGAAACACAGACGAGTACATTCTTTCATGTACTCGTCTGTGTTTCGTCCTCTCTTTCTGTTTTATACTTTCTGTTATCTACTACATTGCAATTAGAGTTTCTGTGTTTTTGTCCACCAAACCCAAAATTTGATAAAAAAAAGAACAAGCGCCGGGCGTTCTTTTTACAACCATGCGTTGGGGATTAACAACATTGTCGGGCACCTCGTCACTACATCGGCACTGTGCGTCGGCGCAGCACTTCTGCTAAATTGAGTTGAATGCTCTTTTACCCTTAGTGGCGTTGGCTAGAGCCACTGACATTTGCTCGGCGCCTTTCAGCACTAAAATGAAACATGAACTACATGGAGAAAACAGAAAATTGACTAGACGTTGTTTACTATCATATTAGCGTTGAGAGTGTCATACCGCTCTTGTGCTTGTTGTTGGTACGAACGCTCACCTCCGTATGAGTCTTCAATGGCCTATATCATTAATAAATAAAAAAATATTCAACTTCGGAATCGCCCTCCCCATAGGTGTGCCATCCAGGGGAGTGCATCGGATAAAAACATACTCCAAACACTGAGCGCTGGGCGACTGAAGCACTGCTACGCTAGTCAAGGTCACACTCGAAATTGCACGTGAGAATCCTGACGTTATGTGGAAGTATATATACGGTGACTGAAATAACCAGGCTCGATCTAAAATGGGCCGTAATAATCGGTGCCAGCACGTAGCAATCAACTTTTCGTCGAAGGTGTATTTCACCGGTGAGTTTTTTTCTCGTAAAGTACAAAGTGTAGCTCCCGTTCTGTGAAAAGCTAGGGCTAAAAGCTTTCCAGGGTCAACGGCGTACGTCGACGCAGACGTCCGAGTCGAATGGCGGGGCGCGTTTGCGCACAGAATGGATAGATGGCGTTCGGAGCAGCGTCGGAAGGTGTACCCGACCAGCGAAAGAAAGGAGGCGACACGCGGAATGAATCCGACGGCAGCAAGGACGCCGTCGTTATGCAAACGCGTTTATTTATTTATTTATTTTTTTACTTTCGCTTTTATTATTTGCATTTATTTTTAAACTAAAGGTAGGCCACAAAATGTCTATGTTCATTTTAGTAGATCACGGTCGTCGCGAGTAGTCTTGATGAGGAGGTAGCGTACTCTATCAATACGTGCACCAAACGCGCTCCGCCGCTCGACTCAGTCATCTACTTCGCCGCCCACCGGTGACCTTGGCAAGTTTCTTGGCCCTATTTTTTGCAGCAAATTTTGCAGCGGAAAAAAAAAACGACCTGTGCATTACACCTTTGACGAAAAATTTATATTACTACTTGCAGGCGCCGATTTCTACGGATCATTTGAGGTCAAACCTGGTTATTTCAATCAACCTATACATCCTTTTAGTTTGAGCTTAAAGGGATGCTGAAGCGATATTTGAAATCTCATAAATATTGCCCGAACAGGCTTCACGGGATGGTACTGTACCTAAAAACGATATTCAATCAGACGGATGGTGCCCGGATTATTGTATTTCTTTGAATTATGAGCGAATCCTTGGCCGGAAGCCGCCGGCGCGAGCCAGTCCTTCTGAGAGCAGGCATAGCGGAACTGACGTGCGCATTCTCCGAGTCCCCAGCGCCCCTGGTGACTCCACGCATTCTCCTCGTTGGTGCTCGCTTTGGTTTTTCGCTCGGCGGCTGTTCTCAGAGCGTCTGGTACTGGTGTTTCGGGACTTATGCCGCGGAACTGTGCCGCACAGGGCTGTTCATACAGCGTGTGGTACAGCGGAAGGCCTATGCATACATTTCCATCCGATCCCACACTGCGGAAACTATGGATTCGCGTCGCCCGCCCCTCCCAACCAACGTGGGTGCCCGCCAAAGGCGACTGTCTATGTACGGACCACTTCGCAGAGGAGGACTACGTGAGGAGCCCAGCAGTTCTGCGAAGTCTTGGGCTGCCGGTGAAGCATGTTTTTCTGAAACCCGGCGTGGTGCCGTCGTTGTTCACGCGGAAGCGCAAGCAAGCGCAACTGAGCGGCGTCGAGGAGAAACGGCGACGCGAAGAGGTGGGTGTTCTCGCAGCGACTGAGATATTTTGCTTGTACTAGCGTCCAGTGCGTCCAGTGTCCACCGAGTCAGTGGCGTGTTTCGTGTGTTTCGCGCCTTATTCGTGATTATGACTTTGAGGTGTGTCACAAATTTTCCTGGGGCAGGGAAGTGTAATCATCTGTGTACTTTTCCCAGGGGGATGTTGAACTAAACCTGGGAGAGTGTTGGAAAGGGAGTATATAAATCACTGGATATAACTGATTACAGAGCCGGGGGCAGTCACCTTGTATTACTTTAGCTCTCAGTGTTTGTAGTGTTCCAGATTGAAAAATGTTTACTTTTATGATTTCTAGATAATTGACGAACTGCTCAAAGAACCGCCACAAGCCACGGTCACTGAGACAACTGAAGTGGTGCTCAACGCATCAACCTCTTTCGCTGCCTACACTGAGCAAAGCCCCAAGGCTCGACATGATCCAATAAAGGAAACGAGTACTGTGACAGAAGATCCTTGTTTGAGCTTGTGTGTGTATGCATTGAAACTTCACTTCTCTTCCACCTCCTTGTATTGTGTAGTAGTCCTGCCGACTGAATCTGTGAAAACTTGTTTTATTCTGATATAGTACATTCTCTTTTATTTGCTGTGAACAGCTTCCTGCACCAAAAATGCTGACCAAGCTCCTCCTCGTCTTCGGAGTGTGATTACGCAGACATCTGGCCTCCACAAAAACGAGTGTATGTATACCCACAAAGAGCAATTCTAGCAAGGGGCAATGCTAAACAGATGACAGTGTGAGTTGCTATATCCATGACGTGAAAGCATACCTCTGACACTGCCATCAGCAACTATTATTTCAAAAACCCACCTGAAAGTCATGCAAAAAAAAAAAAATAAGTGCCAGCTAAGTGCATTTAGTGTACCTAAGGAAGAAACCAGCAGCCAACTGAAATATAAGTCCGAACAAAGCTATTGGCCGCGCCAGTTGTGTTTCTATTCTATAAAATCTACCTCTGCCGGCTCCAGTTATAGCTATACTTCGTTTCAGCTTCCGTCCGAGCGCAGCCAAAGCTACGTGTGACCGGAGCCAATCACACGCCGGCAATCGGTCACGCGATCTTGCCTGCACTTTTGTATCACTCCGCTGCGCCGCTGGTCGTCCACGCCGCCCGCGTTCGTCGAGTATTTCGTCTGCTACAGGTGTATCAACGGTATCGTCTGCTGCAGGTTTAAAAGGAGTCCTTTCACGTTTTGAAATTTAATCATAGGGAATGTCAGTACGTATTCTTGCCGCTGCCGTCTGTGTCCGAGCTTTCCACCTGTTTGGCATTTTGGCATAGTTTCGAGATGTAAGTAAACATTGCCAGGTGCCCGATGACGCGGCCGTTGATGTTTCCTTGTAATGTCTGGATATACCAGGGCTCGAGGCGTAGTCCTTTTCACTATCTTCTCGGCGTTCAATGTGGTCGGTAGGTAAAGGGGTGTCCTGATTTCGCCGTGTATCAGTGAATTGTAGTGGCCCGGACGCTTTCTTGTTTACAACGCATTTGTGGTACGACGCGGCCGGAGTCTCCTGCCGAATTTGAAAGTAGACATTCATCACGACCGCTCGCGCCTGACGCCCAAACGTGCCTTTGCGAAGGGACGTTCTGAAGCGACTCGGTGAGGAAAGCAGCGATGCACATGATTCGGCCATTATGGGAACGAAATGATACAGAAGAACTGAGCGCTGCAGCCGTGTTGCCAGCGGATGTACGCGTTTTCACCAAACCACATGCATTTACATATGCCAATAAAAACATAAACTTCAGATATTTAATTCCTTTCGTTGCAAATCATTCTCTGCAGTACACATCTCGAATGTTGTGCAATATTTACGCACAAAACAGTTATTTTAAAAATATTACTTTTGCACTCTACTTTGTGGTGCGTAGGAATGCTCTTTTCGAAGTTGCGAACCGTCCCTCAGTATAGCTAACTCAGTATAGCTAAATCACATCTTGAAATATAGTTATGTATTTTTAATGTGTGTTCGTTTTAGCTGTCCGACACTCAGTATTCAGTCTTGAGATTCAGGAGGCAAGAGTCCCGTCCTGTTTAGTTTTTGGTTGTCAGCGAACTGGGGTGCCAACATATTTCTTTCATTGTCATTCAGCATTGAAAAGCTAAATGTACACGCATAGCTGCCATACAGTTGTAGCTTTGACTAGCACGCAAAAGCAGAACCTTGGAATGTGACCATAGACTCATTTGATGTCCCGTCATTCAGCATGAAAGATTAATTCCTGTTCGGTGTGATCGCTACATTGTTTTTAAACCAACTTACAATCAAGCCGGCTAATGTTGTGCATACAGCGTTGCTCTTCCACAAATGTTGTCAATTTTGTTGTACTACATTATAATAACACTTACAGGCATACAAGTTACCCCTGAAACGCCATCCAGGCACACTCAGACAAATCCGGTCGTCGTGACACCACAGTGTTCATCACCGAACCACGTCCCCCAGGCTCAATTAGACTGGACGTTGCCTAACGTGCAGAAGCAATTGCTAACATCACCATCGCTGCCGCTAGTGCCACCAGATCCGCCTCAACCACCAGAGCCACCGACAGTTGTTGAGGAAGAACACAGTCAAGACGACTTGGAAGATGTGGATGGGGACTCCCTAAAAGAGCTTCAACCGAAACATGTGGAAGCAGACGTCAGCTACCGCCCCTCCGACGCCAGCTTTCGGATGATGTTGTCGGACAACAGCCTAAGGTGGGTATCTGCCAGCTGCACATTCTCTTCAGTGGCAAGGGTGACACTCACCTTCTATTTTTATTTCTGTATTTGTGTGCTATGCATTGGGGTGTTACCAATATGATATGAACAAATTGGACCATCCTTCTGCCCATCTTTAGGAGTGAGGTTATTTTACAATCATTGTTTCTTTTTCTATTCTGATTACCAGGGATGACCAGGTCAACACAGCTTTTCAGGACAATACAAGCACCGGTGGTGGTGTTGTGGACTACATCTCTGAACGAAAGTTTATCACTTTTGAGTCGTGTCTGGACGAGCTCCTGATGAGGTGCCCAAAGTGCACTGCCCTCATGCGCACCTCAAGGAAAAAAGTCAAGGGGCCTTTTTGTGTAACGCACATGTGCTAATGGCCATGAGCTTGTCTAAAGTAGCCAGCCATGTGTGCACAGGAGGCCTCTGGGGAGCATACTGCTCGCCGCAGCCACCCTGTTCTCCGGAAGCGTGGTGAAAAAAGTCCTGAGGCTCCTCAACAAAATGGGTGTGCCCTGCTTCTCGAACAGGACATACTTCAACATCCAGTCCTCTTTCTTTTGCCAGCCATTAGACGGGTATGATATATTTGGAGCTGTCATTTACTTCTAGACTGGGTTTTCTCTCATGGGTCCAAGCGAGTACATAGCTGTTCATTGCAGATTGTGGCCACATAGACGTCAGAATCTGTCTCTACCATCTCGACATTCCCCCTGGAGCCAAACACGTTTGGCTCCAGGGCTAAAGTAATGGCACTTATATAGTGAATATATTCGTTTAAAACCCCCTTGCAGGTGCGTTTGGGTGATGTCTTGCACTGTGCTGTGGTTGGATGCATCCATTTTATAATTATTGTAATCCTCTTACAATGAATGCATCTGAACCTAGCACAGTGTGACAGTGGAAACGCGATTGTGTGAAGGGAGTTTTATATATGCTCTCGCGACTGAAAGCATCGTACTACCATGTTTCACGATTGACAAACTTCAAAAGGTTTGAAGATACACTACAATTAGATACAGCCGTGTGCAGTTTTGCCTCATTAATACCTAAAAATTGTGCCTCAATAATATACCGTAAAATACCGGGCAAGCGCCCACTCAAAATATAGAGATAATAACGATAAAATGGGGGATCGGCGCTTTTTCCGGTCATCAGTTTTACATATAAATGTACTGTGCATATTTTCTCAGATCTTAAAAATTTGGATATGGGCGCTTAATGTGGAATGGGCGGATGTGCGGTATTCTACGGTAGATACCTCCCATTCCTAGAAAAATTGTCCTTGATGGGATTCATTGACAACAATGAGGCAAGGGCAGTACATAATTAATAGAGAGCCCTAGCCACAAAACGTTGCGTTTATTCAACCATAACACTTATTTACTTTGAATGGGAAAATAAACATGGCAGATGTCTGTTACAATTTTGCGGCAGTAGCGGTCGCCAATAGAGATCTTCATAGGGGTTTATGACCCTAAACATCCAATGTTCTGAAAACCACCCACCATAGGGTTGAGCATGAATTATATTCACCTGTGGAATATAATTGTGAGTCTTTAGAGTTCGGTGTTTAGGGTTGAATTGTGAGAATACATTTTCTGAAATGAACACAACTGAGAAAGCGTGGGGCATAAAGAGAGACTAGGTACTGATAAGCCAAGTTTCATAGCACACCTGAGTTGTAATGATAATTAGGGAGAATAAAAGCCATGGATCTATTTTGTACAGCTTCAAGGCACTGGCAAGTGTCCCTCTGTTAGAACCCCAGGCGGCAAAGCGTACTTGAGTTTGGTTGGTATAGTGTTTTAGAAAGAAAAGGTTTCAGTGTTGAGGAGGTTTGGGAGAAATTACAATTCAGATAAACAAGCATGTGATTGGCGTTCGAAATAAAGTGCACACTTCATGCAACCTCCATGTGAAGTTAGACATTAATAGCCAAGCATATAATTGGCATAAATAACATGCATACTTCATATGTAAGCTACATGTGAGGTTGCAGATTAAAAGATTTTGCTCATTATTCAATTTGTTAACTTTGCGGCTGATGGTCATGTGTTTAAATTTGTTTACTTTTAACGATGTGCCAGTGGTTGCACCAACGTGGGATAAAATCAAGGTTTAAAGAAGTGAAATGTCAGCTGTTAGCTATCTTACAGTATACAATGTGTTAGCTATCTTGCAGTATACAATGCAATGATTAGCAAATAAACAGAGCCTACAAACATCTGTTTTTCCTTGCAACTGCTAGGTGTGGAACAGGCAACAGACCCAGCTGTTTGAGGAGGCTGCTGGGCGAAAGCTGGTGCTTTCTGCTGATGGCCGCTCAGACTCTCCTGGCCACTGTGCCAAGTATGGATCGTACACCGTAATTGACGTCCAAAAAAACAATGTTCTGCACGTCGAAACAGTGCAGGTGCAGTGCACTCTTATGCATGTTCTAAAGCTGTTAGTATGTCACAACATCAGAACCCATTTTCTCAAGGGAATTAAATTTAATGGATGTGACAACACATTTCAAGATGTCTTTCATCTGGTCTCATCAGCTTTACCTGCTTCAGTCTTGGGTGCTTAGACTTGCAATGTGATGGCACAATACATTTTATTTTTATGCAGTCCAACGAGACAAAGGGCAGCTGGGCCATGGAGCTGGAGGGACTCAAAAGAACCCTTGTGGTTTTTGAAGCCAATGGACTGATTGTGGAGAGCATCATAACAGACCGGCACAGCATGATCAAATCTTTCCTCTCCAAAGACCATCCACAGATCCGACACATGTTTGATTGCTGGCATTTTGCAAAAGGTAACCCATACATACCTCTTTGGCAACGTTACTAGAACAACTCAGTTGGAAAACTGCCAAACAAAAAAAAGCCTACTTTGAAAATATGGCTTCGATGCATACTCGAGAACCGAACTAGAGGCGATCGCAACGCCGCCATTTCTCCCGCTGCGGCCACTCTGTGAACTGCACATCTTCACGTCTTAGTTCAGGTCGAGTTGCACAAGGGCAAGTGGTGCCATCTTGCAGTGCCATTTCACAGTAGCAATATAAATTAACTCATGTTTTGACCCACCGCTGAAGGGTGGTGCTGTTATCGTATTTACTTCGGTCCCGGTGGACGCGAGCAGTCCGAGTTTCAAGGTGAGTTTCCCAACCGAGGGGTGTAGTAATGTTGGTCTCTGGGTTGGCAAATAACGCCTCCATCAACATCCAGAGTAATCTGTTACAAACCCCTTCTAGTGCTGCCTGTTGCTAGTATAAACATGAGAGCCTTAGTGTGTTGCAATCATATGGACGATGACTAAGTTAACCATACTTGCACTGATCGCTGCAGAATTTAATTTGCTCTAAGTACAGTGATCCGATTGCTGCGCCATTTGCGTCGAGCTTTGCCGAAGGGCTAAACCTGCTGCATCCTCCTACATTTAGCTCAAACGTGAGAAACTGGCGCCAACATTGCACCAAAATTTGATTTCGCTTTAATACTACAATTTTCAGAACTTTTCATTTTAGCCGCAAATGAGGTATATCCTATTTTATCTCTCTGTCAGTGTCAAACACTGATAGTACTTGGAATTTTTGCAATATCTTTTATGTTTTTAGTAGTCACTGGTGTGAAAGTTAGCTTTGTTGAGTGTGCTTCTCACTGCGCTCTTGTGTACTGCAGTGAAGCAGCTGCAGCAAAGTGAGTATGGTAAATTCGCTCATCTTGCTTTGCCGCAGTCCATCGGAGTGGTACAGAGAAAGCATCCCTCTAGAGTGGGACGTTCACGTAAGTGTCGCGTATATTAAGAAAAGGAACTTCATGAGTGTTAATGTAACAGCTCTTAGTTACAGTAGAAATTCCTGAATTACACTGCGGCAATTACTTATGATAGGCTGCAGTATTCTTGCGATGTCTTATCCAAATTCCGGACTTAGTGACGATGCTCGCAAGAAAATTTATATGAACTGCTCTATAGGTTTATTTTTATTTGGACTCCGTTAATTTTCGTAATTTAATGATAAGATATCTTTTATTTTGTATTCATAATTTTTGTTTTATAGTAACCTTTAGAACCTAAATGGAACATTCATTTGTGTGTCTACGATTATTCTAACATGTTAGTGGAATATACTATTCGGTTTACATTTTATTTCATACCTAATGACGATACACAGCAGACCATACTGTCCTTCATCGATCAGCATCTTGTTGCCATGCCTGGTGCTTCTATGTGTGACTGAACAGCTAGATCTGCGTTTTTTAGGAACTCAAGCCTACTGTTGCACAGAAGTGCGAAGGCAAAGCACGCATGTTTTTTAGCTGGATATGCCAACACACAAATCTTAACACATAAAATTTGTAGTGGTATGAATAAAAATGAAGTGTGTGCTTGTGCCCCAAAAGCACTCTTTGCTGCTCCATAATGGACGTATGGCTGCCCCAAAAGTTGCTACAAAATGACTCGGGTCAATTGTATCGCTGCAAGTAGTGCTATGGTGATTGGTATATGCCACCGCATTAACGTTGATCCCAGGGCATCCTTTGGTGCCCGTGGATGGAACTGTTCGTCTTGGAGAATTACTATCAGAAATAAAGCACCCCTCCAATTTTTGCGAAATGACAGAACCATATGTTCAAAGGAAGCAGTGGTTCTCAAATGGGTGTCCGTAAAGACATATCTAGGGTCTGCAGAACCGTCTGTTGTCAGTCAAGTTAAGCAACAAAACTCACACACTTGGAATGTCACAGTTTTATGTTAGGCTTCTTTATATGCCAATCAAACATGTCGATTCGCGGTAGAATTACCATATTTTTCCAAGTATAGGTCTTCTTTTTGCGGCACTGTTACCAAATCAAACCCTTTACTGATCATAAAGGGTGTCCTACCTTTATTCTTATGCCAATGGGGCTAGTTCATATAAAAAATTGGTGTTGAAAAAAGGAGAGTTCACAGTGTTTCTGGTAGTGTCTTTTACTCTAAGCTTGGCATTTAGCAAGAGAAATCGTTTCCTCTTTACTAGGCATCAAAAAACGCCTAGTTACAGCTGGGAAGCTGAAGTCTCTCAGCGCACTGCGAGACTGGGTGGAACCTATCGTCAAGCGCTTGTACTGGTGTGCTGAATGGAGCGATGGAGCCCCGGAGGAAATTCTCCCAAAGTGGACGTCCCTGGTAGCACATGTGGCTGATGTGCACGAGCACGCTGACGCTATCTACCCCAGATGTCAACACGGACACTTGGGCAGGAAAAAGGGGCTCTCTGAGGGTAGGTCAACCACAGTTCACAGCAGTTCTCAAATAAACAACTCAAACATGCATATGAAAGACGGGCATATAGGACGGGCAGTTGCGTTAGTTTTTAACGGATTCATTTCAGAAAGGTTTTAGA